CCTCATTCTCCTCTTCGGCGGGCTGGCCGCCTCCCGGCCGCTGCACGTGTGTCGGATGCCGTCTGTGTGTGTTTCTTCCTTGCACAGGAATTCCTCCGTGATTCCCAAGGACTCAGCAACCTGAGGAGCACAGGGTGTAGGACTGAAAGCCTGCCTTTGAGTCTGCGAAGTCCCTCTGTACAGCGAGGCACCGTCTGAACAGGGAAAAGTGAAGGTCAGTGTGAGGTGGAAGAGCCAGTGGTGAAATGTCGCTCCCAGAGCCAGAGCCGCTGGGTTAGCAGGTCAGGAGACACCAGCAAGGTTTTTAATAAAATTTAAAACACTCTCTTTCGTGTCACCACAAGCTTAATAACGTTAGTCTGCTACCACGGCCGCCGTCTCGCCCACTGTGCCTCCTTTTCTGAATTCTCACTGGTGCTTCAGAAAAAGAATCCTGCCTATTCCAGAACCACGTCTCCTTTCCCAGTCGGTGGACAGGATGCGGGTTTGGGAGGCTGGGAGCCCCTTGCTGGCCCTGGCAGCTGCCCATGTGGGACCACAGCCGCCGGAGGGGTGTGGGGATGACGCCAGGTTCCACGTGAAGCAGCAGGCGGGAAGATCATCGTGGACAGCGGTCGGCATTTATGCACGGACCGTGGAGAGAACACCAAGAGCATGAGAGGGCGGCAGGGAAGCAAGGGCAGATCAAGGTCAGAGGAGAGGCCAGGGGTCGGCGAGTTTAGCATCCAGTGACCTGACAGTGTCCCCTTGCAAACAGTGCGGGACTCTGCGGGCCAGAGAACTGCTTCGGGGCGTGGCAGTGGGAGGAGGCGATGTTCCCTGACCACGTGGTACACGTCCTCGCAACAAAGGCTTGTATCCAAAAGAAACCAAACCAGGGCTTTTTCAAAAACATTTCTATCAGAAACAAACAAGCAAAAAAACACACAAAAAAGAAGGAAAAAACAAAACAAAAAACCGCATTTCTGTCAAGGACCCAAGATTGCTAAAGGCAATTTGATGACAATGACATTGAAATGAGAAATTTGTCAAAACAACCACAAGCAAGACCGTTGGGCTGTGTGTAACCCAAAAACCTACATAACGAAGGACCCTATTAACCGTGGCAGTGACTCCGATCAGCGGGAGGAGAATTGCGGTGGTGTGGACTTCCTGGAGCTTATCTGCATTTCCGAGTTCCCTGAAGACAGCATTCATCCCCTTCACGTGAAGAGGAAGAGTGACAGTGCGGCCGACAGTGCCCACGTCACTACGGAAATGCACGTTCTCCTGCAGAACCGCTCCTCCTCCGAGCAGAGCGCTTCCCAGCGGGACCCTTACCTCGGGATCCTTTATTTCCAGGGGCTCCTGAGAACGCGGGCTGGGGCCTCGGAGGTAATCCTGACACATTTTTTTAACCATCTGATGCAACTCTTCAAACTCCTTGTACACGGCTGGGAACAAAGGCTGTGCTAGATGACCTTTCTCAACCTTAGTGAAGATAAAAATGAAAAGACGTTTACACCGGAGGCGATGAGAGGGAAAATACAGGAAGACGCATAGAGGGAAGGAGACGGTTCCTCAGCCCGCGCCGAGGCCTTCCCCGGCAGGCGTTCCCTTCACTGCCCAGTGAGAGCCTGTGTGCCCAGCACTGCGCCCGCAGGGCTACACGAGTGGGCCTGGGAGCGAAGGGGGCATAAAAGGGCCTGCGGGGGGGCCTCCTCTCCCTGGCAGCTGCTGGGAGGTGTGCGGTGTGGGTGCAGGAGCCCAGGCGCAGCATCAGAGTGGGCTCACCAGGGCCCAGAGCCCGGCTTGGAGGCGCCCAGCGTGGGGGAGTCCAGAGTGGAGGAAGCCAGGGAGGGAGGGTGGGTAGGTGGGTGCTGGGGCCGTGTGCCGCCAGGGTTTGCTGCTACCCCCTCGGTGCCTCCCGCAGAAGCTGAAGCTGCCCGGGGAGACCGGGCCTCCGGCAGCACCAGCAGCCTCACCAGCTCTGTCCGGAGGGAAAGGACTGCAGAAGGCCTGGCTCCTAACCTAACGTGAAGGACGCCTTTCTAAATGGCCCCTGGTCATCCCCTGGACCGTGCAGGAACACTCGCCTTCGTCAGTAGAAATTCATACACGGTCACGGCCTGGGCCAGCCGGGGCAGAGCCAACTCCACGAGGTCCTCGAGCGCACACTGCTGCAGAACCTACCAGAAGAGAGCGATCGACATCTTTGAAAGCCCACAAGAATCTCCCATTAGCCAACAAGCTGCTGCAACAAAGAACATAAAAGGCAGAAAGGTCCCCCAAACCTCAGTGATGAAGCCACTCTACACTACGAACGCTCTGCTTTGTTAACTCTCTCGCTTGTTCCCCATGAGCAAAATCCTGAGATCCACCTGGATTCAGAGCCTGACTCCCCGACAGCCCTGAGCGCGGAGTGGATACGAGTTCTGGATAAGGACATGGCGACGGGGAGACGCGCTCCCTTCTCTCCAGGGCTCCAGGCTCACCAGCCTGAGAAGAACAGGCACAGAAATCCCAAGGCAGCCAGTCAGGGCCCCACCAAAGCACAGGAGGGAGAGGAAGAGGACCGGG